GACAACTTCTCGTTGTTGATCTTCCAAAGTATTCCAGTTGCGAAAACGTTTTGAAAACAAGTCCAGTGCTTCTTCCCCCGACATTTGCCCAACCTCGATAACCTCACACTCCTGCCGACTTGCGACCTGCAGAGATCTGGTCGTAAATATCACAGTCCCCTTCTGACCCTGCGGCACAAACTTCGCGATAGGGCTCTCATTGCTCTGAAAGTCGACCTCGTTGTCGGCATTGTCGATAATTAGGATCCAGTCGCCGCTATCGGGACCTTCAAACCATGCCTTCATATTCGACAAAAATCCCTCTTCATTTGTTTCAGCACTGGCCCGAGGAATGTAAACACGTTGTGCAATAGTCCGAAAGCCCTGACTAAATTTTAATAGCCCACTCCCGTTTACCCAGAAAACATCACACTCGCTCTCCTTGGCGCGCTGATAAACGTATTCGAGGGCAATCTGGGTTTTTCTAAGCGACGTTAGTACATCTTCCCTATGTCGAAGCAATCAATACATACCCAGAACCCCCTAATCCATGGAGCGCAATCCGGTTATGATCGCTACTTCTACAACACCCATTTATGGCCTCAATGATACTGTTACGGCCAGTAAACGTTCCATTCCTGCTGTAAGGAACTATCCAATACGGTCTAGATGCGTCTCTCGACCCTACTAGCATGTTAGATCTGTGCTAGCACCGAGGGATGAATGGTGATCATACCTCCGTCTCTAGCTCTCACAGGTTCCCCGTGATTTGTGACTGCAATATTGGTGATATGTTGGTGCGTGTGCGTCTCCCCGACAACATCGCCATTAGCGAAGACGTTATGATCCCCCCGATTCGCGTTGAACCTTCCGTCGTTATTGCATTGGGTTTCGGTAATGCTGACAAGATCGTTAGAAAGTTGCTGATGGGGTTTACAAATGAAATGGTAGATTAATTGGGATACCTACTTCTCCATCTCCAGTGACTCTCTATTTAGCTTGCTGTATATCTATGTTTTTTTCTGGGGTTTGGATTTGATAATAACCAGAGGGGCTAGCTTTGTTCGATAATGATGGCTCCCTCGTTGCTTATCGTAATCTCCGAAAGCTATCCTTTCTCATGCCCTGGGATAAGTCAACAACACGGGGTATGATGGAATGGGACCCAACCTTGGATACTGAAATGAATAAGTCTTATTTCGCGGCCGTTGTAGGGTAAAGTAAGATCCTGGGTAGCAGTGCTCGAAGACAGTGGTGATTAAGATTTTGCAGTGATGGGAATGAGTAAAAGGGTGTAGCAACGAAAGTTAGAAATTAGAGATCAGAAATCAGTAGCCTTGGCTGCCCGGCTGAAGAAAGGACCTGAGAATTGAAATAGAATACTGTATTCCACCTCACACTCTGTCCACCGCACGTCCCGGCAACGTAATTGGCTATTGCAGTGGGGATATGGACAGCGGCTCACTTTGGTGTGGATGGCCAACTTTACAATGGCATAAGTAACACGAGAGCAACATCCTCCAATTGTATTCTCCTGCAACCGACAGCAGCTTCGCATCATCGGTCAACAAATCAGCCGGAAAGTGTGCAAATACAAGAATTGAGCTTTGGAATAATACTGGTCCACTAAGCGAATTCACCTGTTCAACCCCACCCGGGATAGGGAGCCTTTCGTCTGAGTTATCTTTCTATCAACAGGAGACTGCCATACCGTATTCCACGCCATAGCGAGCGCCCGGCATAGCGAGCCATCCGCCCAAATACTTGCCATATTTAAATCTCAACTGAGGTTCAACCAATTACTTTGCCCAAACTTCCAGATGGCTCGCTATGGCGTGGAATACGTTACCTTCATGTTGAACCACTCAGACAGCCTTACCTTAGAGTTGATTCAATAACTATCCTGCACTGTGGTGCATAAATCACAGAATAGGAAAGATAATACTCGTAATTTTATGACATTTGTGAACACAACTGCTATTCCATATGGGCAGAAAATCGACCGGAGCCTCAAGATTTTGGTGGTATGCAATAGCAGTTGTGTTCACAAACGTCAGAAAATTACGAGTAGAGTTGATTCAATAACTATCCTGCACTATGCTGCATAAATCACAGAATAGGAAAGATAATACTGGGGGGGCTGCGCCACTTTCAGCGCTTTGCATAAGGGCGGGTGAAGGATCCCCAATAGATATTGAACGATTTGTGCTCTACAGTACATTATGTCGCACGAGGATGCCGGCAAAAATAGTGAACAGACCCGCGGTAGTCTAATCAGCCAAATAATGTTACTCCACGCCTCACCACCTCGATAGATTCAGTAATCGTAATATCGCAGCATTTTTAAAAAGGACTGCTATTTCATACCACCAAAAATCGACTCAGAGCCTCAGAATATTGGCGGTATGCAATAGCCCTCCTTTTTAAAAATGCTTCAACACTACGAGCAGCTGAAGAATTTAAAAAATCCCCCGCAACGCGTATCGCACAATATGGAAGTCCGGAAATTCTTGCGAATATTCCCATCGCAATGCACAAGTTATTGAAAGATCATTTGCTATCACAGATTGGAGCGCAATACCTGTGTAATCTCTATCATAATGAACCGATCTGGACAAGTCCGATCTACAATACCTAGTAAGGGCGAAAGCAAGCTTCATCAATTGTTAATGATTCCGGAGGCTTCGCCGATCCTTAGCCTCACAAAATCTGTTCATTACCATCTTGCCTAGTTCAGGCCAGTGCGATAAGTCAACACGATAAGGAACCGTATGATATTGTCAAGTTGACGTTTCAAAAGCGCCAAACCAGGTCATTCCAAACACCGTGCCATGAGAAATCTTTCTCCAAGACAAGTTCGTGTACTGTACCAACAACTCTCTTGACGATTTTTGAGAATGTCAAAATTTGTGTCTGCTGTAAGAGCGTATATGAATACACGCTAGAGCTCAACTAGTAAAAATAAATAACATTAGACTGATTCTAGCTCAGGGAGGTTAAGTTCCGAGTTCGTGTTGTACCGCACACCGAACGCTCTCACAATATTGAAATGTTGCTGGAGCGATGGGACAAAGAACACAAATACTGTGGAGAAAAAAATAGCACTTTCTAAATATTCCCGTTATCTGGAGGACCCAAGTTCTATCCAAGGTGCCAAAAAAAAATGAAAACACCAAGTGGAGTGGCAACCGTCGCAAGGTAGGCTACACAGTGCCAAACCTGTCTCAGACATGGTAAACGCGCCCCTGCGATCGTTTTTACCACCATCGAGTTCGCTTTTTTCCCCTTTTTCCCGACACCTCTCGATATCCGGTGGAGGCTGTTGAGTAAAGAGATTCATCAAATTTATGTGCCAGCAAACTTTACAATGGTACAAGCGCGGCCGATAAATATAGACCGTGGGCGGGGACAACGAACACGGGGTTCAACGAACAAGCCACACAAAATGTCTTGGCGAATGCTGATTTTGTATGGCTTGTTCGTTGAACCCCCGTGTTCGTTGTCCCCGCCCACGCTCTAACCATCAGGTGGATCTGATAAGCGAAGGCGGCATGTAGCAACCAGCCATTTGGCCTCAGGTTTGGTGAGGGCTCGCGTTGCAACTCGCTTCTTTTAAGCACGTGACGGTTATATCTATCGGCTGCACTTGTAGTTTTGTGACCCGCTCAGGATTCCATTGCCCAAGCACGCCCAATCCCGCCCGGTGAACCATGCAAGTCTCAACTGTATGATTGCTGCAATTCCTATATGAATACCACCTGCTGAGCTCTCGAGTCTCCACCGATCACAGAACACAAGGACACATTCCTGTCGAAAACATTTTGGTTTAGCAAGTTGATGGTCCAAGTCGCTCTTTCACTTAGAACTTATATCCTTTCAAACGCTAGCGAGCTCAAAGGGTTTCCTGTTCCTTAGTTTTCTTTTTTCTTCTTTTTTTTCTGAATAGCAGCGCATAATACCGTAATCATATCAAACTTAGACTAGAGCTTGTAGCGAACCTGTGGCTGGTAACTCCAGCCCCTAGTTTCATTTACTAAAAGTGTTTTCGGGACAGCGGTGAGCCCCAATTCAGCAACCACGGGCCGCACACCCGACCCAAACCGGGTCACGTGCCCCGCTAATATCAATCCTGGTTTCGCTAGATTTCCATGGTAATGGGTCGGGAACAGGCCGTGCAAATCCCCACAATCGAGGTCTCAGTTTCAGTAATTCAATAACCAATAAAGTGAAAGAAGGAATTTCTATTACTGTACTCGCGTTGCGGAGTTGCTGTTTGACACTACAGGTGGCAATTCCCATACAAGTATCCAACAGCAACTCCGCAGCGCGAGTACACTCCCGTTCGCAAAGTCTTCGCGGAAAGAGAGGTACTGTGGCAGGGTCTTGGCGGTAACGAAAGTAGCAATACAAGGCATTGCCAGATAAAGATCGTCTAAATTATGTGAGGTAACGGACTTACCATCAAGTTTGACAATGGCGCCTCCACATATTTAAGCCTGTAGTTCACGATATGAACGAAACCCCGATATCGCTTTGATGTCAGATCTGGGAATGAGCTATGAGCAGATAGCTCGTGAGCCCAGCCTTCCACCATCGACAATCCGAAGTGTTGTCAAGAGATACCAAACTCGAGGCCACATACATGATGCACATGAGCGGGACGACCATCCAAGAGATCATATTAAAATGGTAGCTTCAAAATATACTAGTATTTGGGTTCCTTGCATCGTAGACATCCAGCAAGTTACTAGCAATGAGGGTGTTATTGTAAAATATAAAATTCAGCCACTCCATACCCGGCAATCTCTTGTATTGCTACTTTCGTTACCCTGCCACAGTACCTCTCTTTCCTCGAAGACTTTGGAAACGGGGGACCGCCACTCCCACGAGAGGTATTCTCGTTCGACTAAGCGAAAGCCTCATGAACCGCCGTTCTTCTTCAACACATCATAATGCATCACTGTTCGGCACCCAACGGGAACTTGTAGGGGAAAAGATTTCTGAAACTGCAGATGTCAGTACGTCAGTACCATGAATCGAACATGGGTCGCATGGGAAGTTGTATTTCCGCAACGAACCGTACTAACCATTAGACTACACCGATTGAATGGAAGAGCGAAATTTAGTTTTACTTACGTTAATTCTGACAGTGTTATGCACGGTCGGGTATATAACCGTGATTGTTACTGTAGGTTGAGCCAAAGCGCGAACCAAATACAGATCGAGGTTTGTGGATAACCATTCTGTCTGCACTAAGCCAAATATCATTTCTTTCTCCTGTTGCTCACAGATTATGCAATTCCCTTAGGTGGCTGGCGAAAAAAAAAAATGCGATATTGCCGTTTGGGTCTTGTGTCTTTCCAGCAGATCCGTTTCCGAGCCAGTTGCGGAATACTACCGAGTGAGTAGTTGTGATGTCCGACACCAACGCGGTGGGGGCGATCTTTCTCTTTTCTTTTCTTTTCATTTTATGGGGATCCCAATACCGGCGTACCGGTACGTTGGCTATTACTGATAATACATGGTCTTCCTGTTATTGCGCAATGATAGTGGAAAGAGCCTTAGATAGGGTGGCTGTCACTTTTGGTTGACAGCTTGGTACAATGAGGTGATAAATGTCATCGCTGATGGCCACTTTTACACCAAAAATTTCTTTTTTTGCAGCACCAGAATTCGACTACCCGCAGTGCAAGCAAATCAATTGTTGGCAAAATAGTGATTCTGGGTACTTTAATTGTGGGATTGAGATCTTAACGGGTATGGTAAAATATTGTGCAAGTTGTAGAAATACAAAATTGGCAATTTTCAAAACATGTATCTTTTTGTATAGGCACACATACAAATTTCTATTGATAAACTCATGTCTGGGACTCAGTGGCCCCAAACAAACCAGCACTACCGACAGAATGAATAAATATCTTATAAAAATACAAGTTTCAGAATTTCTAGGTCCCTTTTTATCAATTGATATATTTCTTGTTTTAATTGATCAAGAGGGGGAGGGGGCACTTTGTGGTCTTTTTGACCCTGAATTTTGGGCATTGTGGTGTGTTTTGGTCGGTACTTTCGTCAGCCAACGATGACTTTTGTCCAAGATGAAAAAAATCTGCAGTTGAGAAAAGTGAAAATTATTGGGGCCTCAGGAATATGACTCCGGTGTCATTTCGTTGAAGAACACCAGCGTTGTCGCTACTAATCCTTGCCGGTAATTGAAGAATAAGATATCGAAGAAAAAAAAAGAGGTTCACAGGTATCAGGCACACTCACGCTGAGTCCTTTTTGCAGTTTTTGAAGATCGTTTTTGAGAAACAAAACCGAAACACACAAATAGTGTACCCAACCAGTCAGGGGCCCAGTGGGGCCTTGCGGGGGGACTGCCAAGAGCCGTGGACAGGACTTGACGGCTGTCTGTAGCCTGTCCAGGGGGTTCAAATGCAGGACGGCCGTCTTTGGGCCAGAAAGCGGGCCCTACAGGGTGAGACAGCTGTTCTCAGGGTAGGAGGTGGGATGCCAGGGGACCGCGGGTGACGGCAGGGGGCTGCGGGAGCGAGGACTGTTGGAAGGAATGGTGTTTGGGCTTCCTGATAACCTCCATATGGATAGAATAGCAAGGAACGGAATGAAGGAAATGGCAAGGAATGGAATGAGCGGAATGGAGTGGATTGGCTGGAATGGGATGGAGAGGCTGGGAATGGATATCTATGAGGCGGGGAATGCTTAATATATAGCACAGTAGTTTACCTACAATCCCAGGATAAGGGAAAATTGAAGTAAAGTTCTATAACTTGAATATTCTCACGGTTCTGAAACTTTATTTATTTCTTGGAACTTTATTCGTTTATTTCTTCAAGGACGGTGGGGGACGACATGAGTGATGTCTCATGATGCCGTGGCGGTTGGTTTAGGGGTGTACTATTCGTACTTGTGAAAGTGGGGTAGTGAAATATCTAGTTTACCAATATTATGAGGAAAATATGGTAAACAGGAGACAATGGGACAGGTTTAGGATACGGTAGACTCTTGAAATATCAGCTTCACAGAGTCCTTTATACATTATTTCTACTAATACTTTTCACATCCAGCATTAAGCTTAACATAACCCCAACCCAATTATGTCAGATGAAAGCAATGTACACCTGAGTCGGGTAGCCTGAAGGAGGGACATGTTGTGATTCATGGAATTTTCTTATTTTCATTTTCCTTATGCACGGTTTTTTGATCAAATTTTATTTTCCATTTACTCTTTTCTGATCCAATGATAACGGATGAATAACCGGTATACAAATGCAAGGAAATTTCTTTTATCTCTTTTATCCTTTTGATCTACTTCTTTAGCTCTTTGGCTGTGGAATCGTGCATTGTTGTATTCAAATCTCAAGGTATTACATCCATTATAACCTCTCATTTGCGACTGTAGGCAGTCAATCGGCCTATCTGAGCATCCATGCAATCTCCAAACAAAAAGGCCCCTCAGCAACGGTCAATCTCACACAGTCTAAGCAGGTCCTCTTAGTTCTTAAAGTTGGAACTATCAGATGGTAGTCCCCTACAGTCCGTCCTACCCTAAAGAAGGGCGGACTGGACGGCTGGGAATGCTGCACCCAAAAACCCAAAAACCTCTGGAACCGCCAAAAAAGCCTGTTTCCGTTAGGGTACTCAAAAATCGGAATTTCGGTTTTAGTTGCTAAAACGGATTTTCAAAAGCCGCAGAAACAGCTCAGCGTAAGTGCCCCTGTTGTCAGAAAACGACAGAGAAGAGAATCCTAGAAATGGTGCTGTTTTCGAGGCCTGTTATTGGGATAGTTTAACTGTCTCGAAAGGTTTCGGAAAGATTTACTAATAGGGTAATGTCCCAATTTTCGAACAAGGATTTTAATAAAAGTTGGAGATATTTTAACTGGCTTTGGTTGTAATTCTCGGGGGTGGACGATATGGCTCAGATGTCAATATTGGGTTCAAGCTACCTTTAAGAGAGGACCTTTGAGCTCAGAAAACGGTAGCTTTACTGACACCACAAGGGATGGAGTTCTTGAGTAGATGATGTGAATTCATAAAAAAGAATTAGGGTATCAAGCTAACCGAAATCAGTTTCCAGTAACTGGTGTTCCGTAAGCTGGTGCCCTGATTCTGATGGAGAGTGTTTGCTAACTTTGCTTTGCTTAGCGTTGCTGGCCGAAATCCCCAAGCCAGACCAACAGCTTACCGCTTAACTCAACCCCAACCAATTCCTCTCCACCTCTGCAAACAGGTACAAGTAAACATTCTCGATTCCTTTAGGTTGTTCAGATTCTAGACTTATGAACTGATATCCTCAAAATAAAACAAAAACGCTGGGAATGGATATCTATGAGGCGGGGAATGCTTAATATATAGCACAGTAGTTTACCTACAATCCCAGGATAAGGGAAAATTGAAGTAAAGTTCGATAACTTGAATACTCTCACGGTTCTGAAACTTTATTTATTTCTTCGAACTTCGTTTATTTCTTCAAGGACGGTGGGGGACGACAAGAGTGATGTCTCATGATGCCGTGGCGGTTGGTTTAGGGGTGTACTATTCGTACTTGTGAAAGTGGGGTGGTGAAATGTCTAGTTTACCAATATTATGAGGAAAATATGGTAAACAGGAGACAATGGGACAGGTTCAGGATATGGTAGACTCTTGAAATATGAGCTTCACAGAGTCCTTTATAAGTTACATTATTTCTACTATTACTTTTCACATCCAGCATTCCGCTTAACGTAACCCCAACCCAATTATGTCAGATGAAAGCAATGTACACCTGAGTCGGGTGGCCTGAAGGAGGGACATGTTGTGATTCATGCAATTTTCACGGTTTTTTGGTCAAATTTTATTTTCCATTTACTCTTTTCTGATCTAATGATAACGGATGAATAACCGGTATACAAATGCAAGGGAATTTCTTTTATCTCTTTTATCCTTTTGATCTACTTTTTTGGCTCCTTGGCTGTGGAATCGTGCATTTTTGTATTCAAATCTCAAGGTATTACATCCATTATAACCTCTCATTTGCGACTCTAGGCAGTCAATCGGCCTATCTGAGCATCGATGCAATCTCCAAAAAAAATACCCCTCAGCAACGGTCAATCTCACACAGTCTAAGCAGGTCCTCTTAGTTCTTAAAGTTGGAACTATAAGATGGTAGTCCCCTACAGTGCGTCCAGCACGAACATTCCCGGGTGTGTCCGCCCCAGCACCTCCGAAAAGACGGACTATTAGCTGTGGTCCGCCCCGTCCTACCCCAAAGAAGGGCGGACTGAACGGCTGGGAATGCTGCACCCAAAAACCCAAAAACCTCTGGAACCGCCAAAAAAGCCGGTTTCCGTTACTGTACTCAAAAATCGGAATTTCGGTTTTAGTTGGTAAAACGGATTTTTAAAAGCCGCAGAAACAGCTTAGCGTAAGTGCCCCTGTTGTCAGAAAATGACAGAGAAGAGAATCCTAGAAGTGGTGCTGTTTTCGAGGCCTGTTATTGGGATAGTTTAACTGTCTCGAAAGGTTTCGGAAAGATTTACCAATAGGGTAATGTCCCAATTTTTGAACAAGGATTTTGATAAAAGTTGGAGATATTTCAACTAGCTTTGGTTGTAATTCTCGGGGGTGGACGATATGGCTCAGATGTCAATGTTGGGTTCAGGCTACCTTTAAGAGAGGACCTTTGAGCTCAGAAAACGGTAGCTCTACTGATACCACAAGGGATGGAGTTCTTGAGTAGATGACGTGAATTCATAAAAAAGAATTAGGGTATTGTGGGGAAGGAAAATGGTCTGCAAGGTTTTAGCTAGAAGTTGTGTTTTATTTTGATCGGATAAGCTACCGTAGAATCTGGTCTTATAGAGACCGTTGCCAAGCTGATTGCGTAAGGGATTAACATTAAGCTATACTACATTAGGAGGGAAAAAAGAAAAAAACATATCAATTGAAAAAGCTATTCGTCCGAGTCCTGTAGTCCAAATTCCACTCCTGAATCCTCTGCCGGAGGAAGTTCTGTATTCTCATGAGTGAGCCGATGGATCGTTATATGTTATCGCTGCCAATAAAATCTTTCTTTTCTTTAGCTTGTTTTTCTTTGTCTTTTTTTTT